AGGGCAGAGGGTGGTGGGGCTGCTTGGGAAGGAACTTGAGGAAAAGCCCATGGAGAAACAATAGCTTATTGTGTAAACAGACGGGGGCTTGGGAGTGGTGTTGGCAGGAGGATGATGCTCAGTTCAGCACTGCACAGTCTGGATGGGTTTGAGGTGGTGGAGAACCCCAGAGCTATTAGCAGGGAGCAGTGGAACATGCTTAATGGGGGCTCAGAGTGGCTGGCAGAGCCCAGCTTTGCCTAATGGCAAATATAGTGCTCACAGTTAGCATTTTGCTCAGTATCTGAGAGAAAGAGAAAAGCTGTAGTACTTTGCAGTTTGGACAATCTCAAAGCTGTTAGTAAGCCTAATACTAATTGTTTCCTTCGAATTAAGTAGGCAATTTTGTGAATAAGGCCGCAGCCATGTCTTGGTGAGCACAACCAAGAGGAGCTCAGCAGCTCCCAGAGCTGGTGCTGCTCCTGATCAGGGCATAAACATTCCAGACAAGCCTCAGAAGCTGAGCTGGACCCGAGGGATTCCCCAGCATCCCCAGGGCCATTCTAGCCATGCTTCTGATCTAACACTGTTTTCTTAGCAGGGCATTGCCATCTGGAGAGGCTGAGACTGGGCACTGATTTGTGCACCAACCATGGCACTTTCCAATTTATCTGATTACTCTGATGACTCTGATATCTATGACTACTCGGATTATACCTATGAAGAGCCAGGCAGCGTATGGACAGGCCCATCCTATGACCCGAAGGACGTTGCAAGAATCCTCTCTGTTGTCATCTACAGTGTGTCCTGCGTGCTGGGCATCCTGGGGAATGGCCTCGTCATAGCCATCATCATTCTGAAGATGAAGAAGTCGGTCAATGCCATATGGTTCCTCAACCTGGCTGTCGCTGACTTCCTCTTCAACATCTTCCTACCCATAAACATTGCGTACACAGCCATGCGCTACAACTGGATCTTTGGGACAGTCATGTGCAAGCTGAACTCCTTCCTCCTCATCCTCAACATGTACACCAGTGTTCTTCTGCTCACCACCATCAGCTTTGATCGCTATGTGTCGGTGGTTTTTCCTGTCTGGTCTCAAAACCATCGGTCGACCAACCTGGCATACATGGTTTGCCTGATCATCTGGATGGTTGGTATCATCATGAGCTGCCCTTCTCTTGTCTTCCGAGATACAGCACAAGCTCGCAACTCTATCATTTGTTTCAGCAATTTCTCCCTGTCCAGAAATAGGTCTTACCAAGCACTGGCACTAGTGAGACACCGAACAGTGAACATCACCAGGCTCTTTGCTGGGTTCCTCCTGCCCATTACCATCATCACCTTCTGCTACGCTTCCATTGCCTTCAACCTGCGTCGAAACCGCCTTGCCAAGTCCAGGAAGCCCTTCAAGATCATCGTCACCATCATCGTCACCTTCTTCCTGTGCTGGAGCCCCTACCACCTGTTGAACATCCTGGAAACAAAACCTGACCTGATCCCGCGCTCTGTATTTGAGATTGGCATCCCCATCACCACTGCGCTCGCTGCCTCCAACAGCTGCATGAACCCCGTCCTCTACGTCTTCATGGGCCAGGACTTCAAGAAGTTCAAGGTGACCATCCTTTCCAGGTTGGTGAATGCACTCAGTGAGGAGACGGGCCACTCCAGCATCGTGCACAGGAGCTTCTCCAAGATGTCTTCAATGACTGAAAAGGAGACAACCGTCCTCTGAGTCTGGATGCTCACGGGATGGCCACAGTCCTCCAGGGCCACCTATGTCCAGCACCATGATGGTGGAATGGGCATGGTCTCATGCAAACAGTGCACACTTGGACTGATCACACTGCCTAGGCATGGAGACCTCTGGGTGTGTGGCCTGTGCTCCTTGGCCAGGGCACTCCTTTATTTTCCAGAGACAGCTGCAGCTTGGAGGAGATGTAAGCATCAGTCTCTGCTGCCTGGAGGTGCCCAGGGATAGACACCCTGTCCCAGCTGGAGGTGACAAGAGCTGGGTTATGGGGTGCAGTGTGAGGACAGTATGTGCTGGACAGTCTTGTGATAAAGACAAACAAAAAAGCAATAAGGGAAAACAGGTGAATTTCTTATTATGGGTTGTGTCTGAGGGGGCACCTTGGCTTCCCAGGTGGGTGGATGCCACCCACCATGGCAATGACACTGTGCCTTATGTATGCATATAGCCACTTATTTTAAATCCTGACATGTATTGGTACTAGAGCAATATTTTTAACTGTGATGTGAGCACTGTGTACCCAGCAGAGAACACTGCAATAAACACAATGCTCACCCAAGGGCTCAGCGCCATTGCAGAGCTGCTTTCTGTGCCCTCGTTCTGCCCAGCAGAGCAGTGCCACAGGGATGTGGGATGGTTCGTGGGCTCAACCAAGTGGAAAGCTGGCAGCAAAAAGAGAGAGAGATGTCCTGGAGGATCCTTGCAGAGTGCTCTGGTAATGGCCGGTCGAACCAGTGTCTCTATCCAATTTCATGCACAGTTAATTTGGGAGGTAATTCACGAGTTGGGCTTCTTGGCTGAGACAAGGAGGTGGACACTGGTGTTGCCCTTATTTATGGGCTGATTTCTTCGTGTCACCCACAGTGCCTGCAGTTCCCAGGAGGAGGAGGAAGGGCCATGTCCTCATGGTTGGGGTGACAGGTTGGGTGTCCCTGGGGATCCCAGCACTTATTCTGCTCACAGGTACGCACAAAAACTGAGATATTAATTAAAAACAAAAATGAAAAAAGAGCAAGCACTGGGTACAGGATGGGGGAAACAGCCATATCCCCATTCCTGCCCCCACCAGGAATGGGAATGCTCCCACTGTGGTTTGGTGGCTGGCTTTTGCAAGTTCATCTGTTATCCCTGCAAACAGCTTTCCCAAACCTTGATGACTTGGTACATAACGGTACATAACCTTGGGTTAAATGATCATTACAGACAGCTTTGGAAACCTAATATTTGCATTCATCTTCATAGGTGTTTGCCTATTTAATGGAAAACATGTTTTACATACAAATACCCCTCTATGTGTTGAAGCAGGGAAGGAGCACAAGCTTTTCAGTTTCTTCCCAGAGCACATTAATGATTCTCTGTGCTGAATGGGGGGAGACAGGGAAGCAGTGGGGTCAGGCTGGAGTCACTTCCTGCCTTTGGGCTGTGACAGCCCCAGCAGCATCCCATTATCATTGTTACCTCTTTAACTTGGTCACACAGAGGACTCAAATGGCTCTTTAGGAAAGGAAAAGATAAAGCTGACAGAGTCCTCCCCCATCCTTGTGTCATCCCAACGTGTTTTCTGTCAGATGGAATCTGATGAACACTCTGTTCTGCTGATTAAAATAGGAGTCATTAACCACAGCAGCAGGCTCAGCAATGGACTGGGAGTGCTGAGCATCCCACCCAACTCCCACTGCAGCTCTGTGTGTTGGAGATGGGATCTGGCACACACGCACTGGGTGCATTTAGGAGTGAAGGTTTTATAGCAGCACACAGCTGGACAGGAGAGATCTAGGAGCTGGGACCTCAAACCCCAGACCTGGGACTCTCATCATCATTCCTGGACAACCCTATACATCCATTGAACCCACAATCTCTCTCTCCCTTGGGGTTCTCCACCCTGAGGACACCCATCTCCATCCCTGTGTTGCCAGTTCCCATCTCTGGGACCTTCACTCACCACCTCCAGGACCCTGGTGCTCCCTCCCCCACTTCCTCCCATCTCCCCACAACTTCAGGGCTGGGTTTCATTTCACACAACCATTTGGGAAATTACTCCAGAATATACCAAAATCATTTCTGTAGAACACATTACCATCCTTTAATGACTGTTCTTTTTCAATTAGCTCTCACAGCCTCAAAATAAAGCTGTGCTTTACTTCTCCAATAAATCTCACCCTTTATTTGGAAATGGATTTTAGGAAAGAAAAAAAAAAAAGAAAAAGAATAAACATGCTATCATCTCCCTTTCCCCAGTTCAGGCAGGCCGGAGCCATGTTTAAATTATCCCCCACTGCATTCAGGCAGATCATCAACTGTAAATTTTACAGAAAATAGTAAAAACGATAAATAAACATGCTTCTTTTGTAGGAGGTGAATATTACTGCTGCTCAGATTTATAACCCTCATCTCCCATACATTTTATAGCTTTTGTAAAAGTGCTGTCGCAGCTTCTGTGTTATGCTGCTAAGGTGGTTTCTTCCCCCCTATTTAAGGAGCAGCATGAGCTTAGTGTGCAATTTAATTTAGGAGGAAGAGGAGCCCTGCTTGAGGGCTCAGTTCATCCCAAGAAAAGGTCGTTGGCATGGCTGGGAAGGGAAATATTCCCTAGCCTATCCCTTCCCATTCTCATCCCCATCCTTGTTCCATCCCCATACTCATACTTTCAGATTCCTATCCCCATCTCCATCCCCATCCTTGTCCCATGCTATCAGATCCCTATCCCCTCCCACTGCTGCTGGCTGTGCACCAAACCCACGCAGAATTGGGGGAAATGCAGGCAGTTTTGGTGCAGGCACTGTTACCAGGGCAACCCATCCAGCCTATAGCTGCCGACAGAGCTAGCAGACGTTGCAGAAAAGAGATTTTTACTACTTGGGATTGCTGTGCCTCTCATAGCTGATGCTGGGCAGAGCCAATGCTGCCCCACACATGATCTCCTTGCTGCCAGCACATGACCAAAAATAAGGATGCTTGCAGAAACTGCAGCCCTGAGGGCAGCTGGCCAGGAGAAACAGCATAAATTCCACCAAAACCATTCTTTTTATAGAACCTGAGGCATGATAAGAGGCAATGGAAATAAAGTTGGCAGTAAATCTCTCTGCTCACACGACGCACCCAAATAAACCTTCCTTTAAGGACACCAGCAAGGTAATAAAGCTGCCAGGACCATGCTGCCTCATCAGTGCTCCAAATACAGGGATGTCATTAATGCAATTAACGCTGGGACCAAGTGCCACCAGCCAGCTTTGAGGTCACAGCCTCACAAACACACGGGGAGGCAGGGTAGCAACAAAACTCTTTAATAGCTGGGTTGACCTGAGGATTTGTTCTGACAGAGGTAGGCAGCCACCGGCCTGCAGTGCAGGACAGGGAACACCAGCACACTCTTTGCAAAATACATTCATGGGTGAGCGGCTCCCCATGCACAGAAACCCCCCCCATCCTGTCCCTTAGGCGCTGTCAGCTCCGCACGCATGTTAGAAAAATATATTTTATTGAAAATCTCCTTATCCAGTGGAGTTTTCTTCTTTTTCTTTGAGTATAGGTTAACTGGAGATTTTGGATCTGTGCACACATGTCTATAACCATCGAGAGTTAAAAGCCAATTGTTGAGTAACTAACTCTAGAAAAGGCTGCAGACAAGATATGGCTTTTGCACCTCCATCGATCTGGGGGAGGGTAGGGACCCAGCTGTGTTGGGGTGTCTGGGGCAGCATGCAGCCCTGCGCAGAGCCAGCTTTGCAGATGCTTTCCAGACACAGAGCTCCTTTGGTTTCCTCCTTCCCCACGGCCAGGGCAGAAGCTGTGCTCCATGCCCAGGCCCTCAGTATCACAGTCATGGCTTGGAGCTGGTCCACATCTTATCCAGACCACCACCCCGTCACCCTTCCCCAAAATATCTTCCTAGGTTTCTTTTTCCTGGCTTGGGAGCTTTTGCAATGAGGAAGGATGCTCCCACAGGTGCTGCATGCTGCTCTAGCCAGCGTCAGTGCTCCCATCACCACACACAGAGGTTGGTTGCTCCCAAAGAACCCAGAGACATCCCAACCAGTGCATCGCGACCACCTCGCCTCAGTGCATCCTGTAGTGCTGCCCCCCACACTGTGTTCCTTCTTGTTGGAATTATCTCCACCTCTACTGAAGACCCAGAGGAGCTGTTCTGGGAGTGCACAAAGCATAGGGACAGCCACCAAAGCCAACTCATGCCCCAGGGGGGCAGGGCCCCTACATTGCAGCATCCATGCAAGCAAATAGCTGCTTGCATTGCTAAGAATGCTGCAGCAGCCACTGCGGGAGTGGGATGGAGCTGCTCAGCCCCACACCACCCGCTTTACCTACTCCCACAATGTCCAGCAGGGCAGAGGCCCACCTGCAGGATGGGGACGGGGACCAGCAGCGGTGGCAGGGCACCATGCGTCCCCTTGGCACCCAGCTCTGTGGAGGTATCAACCAAGCAAGCTGAGCAATGGCTGGGGAGCGAGCACTTCTCATGCAGGGGGTTGATTAACAGCTCATAGCAGCAGATGGAGAATTACAAGAAAGCCACCCACTGGGTGGAAGCAGGCAGAGGAAATCAATCCTTTCCTCCCCAGGGAGGGGCAGATCCCTCGACCATCACCTCGGGTAGTAATCATCCGGCACCCCTGATAGATTGCGGAGCTTCAGTGCTGCATCCACCGTTCGGATGTATCCACTGATCATCTTCCTCATCTCAGGGGTGTAGGGGTCATATTCCAGCTTCCTCAAACCCGAGCGCTTGAAGTTGCCATCCTTCTGCCCCTCGACACAAAGCAGGCGGTCCTCGCAGGCGGCGATGCCCAGCAGCCCCACCATGCGCTTCAGCTGCTTGAAGAGGTCCTGCTTGAGGTCCTCAAAGTGCACCACCAGCACCTTCCTGCCAAAGCGCAGCCAATCCAGCGTGTGGGTCGCCCACCACGGTGCGTAGTTGGCCACGAACTCCGGCCACTCTGCAAGGAGCACGGGAACAGGAAGGGTGAGCATTAGACGGCCCTGGGATCCCTTGTGTCACTACCTCCCTGCTCTGGTGGCTTGGTCTATAGGGATTTCACAAGGCAAGACATCTCCTGGGACACTGAGATGTCTCACTTAGCCCCAGTTTCTTGGCTAATTGATCTTCGCATAAAAATTGGGATAAAAAGGATAATGAAACATCGATAACAAGCAGCGACTCTCCTGGAAATGAACTCTGCACGTGGCTCATGATGCATGAAGCTCTGGGCATCTGCCTCTTCCTCTCTTCCCCAAGAAACCAATGCCTGATTAATAGCTGAACTGTATTTAATTCCCCAAAGAATCATTAAACACAGTATCTCTTTCATTAAACAGATACAGGACAATTCACCTTGTGTAATCATATCACATAAAACTTTGCTTTGGAACTGCTCCAGGGACATCGTAAAATTAATGTCATGGAACAAAATAGGGATTTTGCTGAGCCTCCAGCCTCTGCTTGCTTGTAGCCAAGGGAAGGAAAACCCTGGCTGCCCATGGCCACATCCAGCATTTTCCAACATCTATTGAATTTCCCTAGAAATCAGAGAAATAGAGTAGGATGTTGAGGAGATCAGGGCTTTCTGCAGGAGAAACTTGGGCTCATGGGCCATGGTGACCTATGCTTCTCAGCAAACCTCAACTCAGCTAAAAACCTCAAGTGATGGCAAACCTCCACCTTTCTAAGCAAGCTGAGCCAAAGCTTAACCAACCTGACAATTGACCCAGGAGGTAAAGACACATTAAAACTTGCATCCTCTTTGGGTTGGGGATGAACCAGGAGCAATCCTTGCACCCCACAGCCATGGGTACAAATGAGAGAAGTGACAATGGGACATGCTGTACCCAGCTGCATGGGGCTGGAGCCCAGGGGGCTTCCCTGTGGATGCAAGGGGAGGGCTCAGTTCATAACCAAAATGCCTTTGCCAGCATCAAGCACATGGTAATAACGAAATCCAGGCACATCACTGCAACAACAGAAAAAGATCCCCTTAAATAAACTCTGAATTAAGGGTAGCAGATGTTCAATCAAGCTAAATATTTTAACTCTTTCCAATGAAGTCAATTCCACAACAGCAATTTACAAATTGCTATAATTAACAAGCCTCTGCAAGCTGTCTGTGCATGGGAAGGTGGCTCTCCGCGAGCAGCCAGGCATGCCGAACCCGCTGGCATGGCCCAAGGGAAGGGGGATGGAATTTGCCATAATTCTGCCCCGAGGAGGGTGTCCTCGTGCTGGTGGTAGCACAGCACTGACTGTCCCAGCCCTGTGGGGACACATGGAAATATTTCACCAATGCCATTAATTTTTCATCTCTTCTTCCTCTGTGCACCGAGACGTCTGCATTGAGGCTCACTGCCTTGTAGAGCTGCTTGTGAGAGGCAGAATTTTTTCCTTCCCTCCCAACCAACCTCCTCACTACATTGAAGCACTGAAGTGTGGCCAGGGGAGAGTCAGGTTGGAAGTTAGAAAAAATATCTTCTCAGAAAGAGTTCATCAGCCTGCCCAGGGAGGTAGGCTCACCATCCCCTGGAACAGTGAAGATCTGGCACTGGGAGACACAATGGGCATGGTGAGGGCAGGTTGGGCTCGGTGATCTTGGAGGTCTTCAATCTTAATGATTCTACATGGGGAGATAGCACTGATGGGTTGATGGTGGGGCTCGAGGGTCCTAGAGGTCTTTTCCAACCTTTATGATTATACAATTACACAATAACCCTACTGGTTGCAAGCCTACAGGATGCTCCTCACCCCAGGAGACCCAACATGGTGGCACCACGGGTTGGCTACACATGGATCAGCACATTCCTACCTTTGCCCCTCCAGTGGGCGTGTGCAGCAAAGCCAATGTGCCCCCCGTATTTGCGGTTGAACTCTGCCATCAGTGCCTTGTAGGGGTTGCGGATCAGTAAGATGGCAGCATCAAAGGCTTCGATCTCCTTCTGGCCACTCTCATGGGTTTTGATGCAGATCGTCCGCCCGCTCCGCCAGTGGTCCCGCTCGCCCTTGAACCCTGTCAGAGTACATACAACAGTTCTATAGCTATCATTGCTGCCACTGCCATTTCTAAGGTCTCACGATGAACTAAGAGGGGAAAAAGCCCAAAACACAGTGATGGCATTTCACGTGCATGCTGGCACTGCAAGAAGTTCAGACAAAACTGTGGCAAGTGGCTGTAAAATGGGGGAATTGATGTTTTCTCCTCCATTGCAACAGCTTGTGTTTTTAGAGGAGCTGGCTTCTGCCTGAAAATGCTTCGTGCATGCCTCAAGATTTTTTTCTTTTAAAATTTCTCCTTGCTGTTTAATCCTGCACGCAGCAGCTTCCCTGGAGCCTTTCCATGGGAGGCCAGCTCCCATCACTGCTGCAATGAAGTCAGAAACACCACCCCAAAGTTCCAACACCCATCACAGGTTGAAACGCACTCAAGCAACGCAGACGTATCAGCTGTGGCCAAGTTGTACTTTGCAAAGACTAAAACACAGCACGGGGAGGTGACAGGTAGAGCTCATGCTCATATACGGGTACCCAGCTCCATCACATTACACCCCCCCCCCCACTCACCTTTGTTGTAGAGGGACCCATCAAAGTAGTAGCTGCCAGTGTAGAAGCCAGTGGCGAGCTCAATCAGGTGTCGTGCCCACGTGTTCCCAGCCCCAGGAAAGCTGGCCAGGGCAACAAGCTGCTTGGAGCGGGTGGGCAGGAACCGGCGGTCCATGCAGCGATTGTCTGTGAGGGTAGAATGGGGTCAGCCTGCAGCATCTCCCTCCATTCCAGCCAATATTGCACTTTTATTTCCATCCCTTTCTTCTGTACGGGGTAGGAGCTGCTCTGGGCGCTCTGTGCTTGCTCCCAGTCCTCCCTCCTCCCCCCCCCCTCCCTGTTATTTCCAACATACTGGTGGGTTCATTCCCCCTTACTGGTGGGTTCACCTGCTGGCTGCACACCACAGCTCGGTGACAGGAGAAAAAACCCAAGCAAGGAGGGATCTCGTTGGAGGCAGATGGCAAACTGCGATTTCCTGCATCTGATTTAAGCAGTAATTAAAAGTGTTTGTTCAGGGGACGATTTATTTCCTGGGAAATTAAAATAAATCGTGATTTCTAATGAATGGCAAATAGCTATTACAGAGCAGCTGCCTGTGGGATGGATGAAGCAACGGCCACCCAGTGCCCCCATCCCGTGCCCACCTTGCACCTGGGTCTGGTAGACAAGCAGGAACTCGGTGGTGCCACAGCTCTCAAACTCCTCTCCAGCACAGCGTTGGGCACAGAGCTGCTCATCCTCACGCTCATGCAGGGGGAAAAGCGTGGTGGGGAAGCCACAGCGGCAGACAGTGCCAGCCAGCACCGACAGAGGGAACTCCTGCAGAGATGGGCACATGGACAGAGCCACCCTCAGAGCCCCATTCAGGTAATTTATGTGGCACTTAGGGCCAAGGGTTATTGGGCATGGTGGTGATGGATCAGCGGTTGGGCTTGATCATCTTGGAGGTCTTGTCCAACCTCAACAACTCTATGACTCTATGAGCAGGCATGGTGGGGATAGGTGGATCATTGGACTTTATGATCCAATCATTGGTAGTCTTTTCTAACCTTAATGATGCTATGAGATCTTGCTGGAGGCCTACTGCAAGCCCATGGGCAGAGCCAGGGCTGCTGATCTCAGGCAAAGCATTTGGGCAGGAGGGAAATCTCCTTCCCCCAAGGTGACACCCTTTGATGAGCCGCAAGACAACAAATTTCACCATTCGTAAACAACAGCATCACACTAAATGGGATGCAGATCTATCTAGCACGATGCATCTGCTGGCTCAGCTTTGTGTGCAAACCTCAGTACCTTCTCAGTGCAGAAGTCCACACACTTGTCCACAGACATGTTGGGCATGGGCTGGCTGGCAGGCAGAGCGATGGTGACATTGTCTGGCTGGCGGAAGCAGCCCCGGAATATCGCACTGCCATCTGCAGGGAGAGCAAACCCATCAGGTTGAGTTCGTTAACTTTTTTTTCTAATTGGATTTTAGCTAGCTTCTCTCTGAGAGGTGTTTGGAAAGGAAAACTACCCAGGAATGCATCCTTCAATGCGGAAGAACCAAAATGCCCCCGCAGTGAGGTGTGCTTTGCCCATGGGCTGCTACAGCACATGATGGAACCCAAAAAAACCCAAATCCAGATGGAGCTAATCTCAGTGCCATCAGCCAGCTTGGCCAGCTGTAAGGACCAGCTTTAGTCCTTACCATTATTGAACCACTCTCATCCCCTATCAATGCAATACGTTTCCTAGCTAATTTGGCTCATAGAGCCTTACAACCCCCAGTAACAAGCCCACCAGTGGGGACACCAGGATTTGACCCCTGAGTGGGATCCCCGTTTTCAGGGAGTGTGGACTCACAGCGTCGGGCAGATTCCTGGGCCAGTTCCAGGCGGTAGATGGAGAGACGGTTGGCCCCGCCGCAGGTGCTGCTCCGTTCACCTTTGCACTCCATGTTGCACTCAGATTCACTGGCATTGGGTGCCTGAACCTTATGGCCACAGTAGCACTCGGCACCGAACTCCAGCCCTGCATACAGGTAGCCCCTGGGGTGGGGGGGAGAGGGGTAAGTGCTGGGCACAGAACAGGGGTTGGCACTGGGGTAAGATCTGTGCTAAGGACAGTCCTTGGGTCTGGGGGTGGTGGTGGAGGGGGTGGATGGATGGCGAGGCCACCACTACCTTTGGGCACTTACAGCCCCCTGCCCGTAGAGAAATAGCACTGAACGGAGCCCATCAATCCCTGATCCTTTTCTTGAGGAGTAAAACTAGTTTCTCACATTCCCAGCAAAAAAAAATATCAAATCAAAATGGCACACATCTAAAGGAAAATAAAGAAGGGTGGGGGGGAGAAGGGGAGTGGAGCAGCTGGGGCAGGGAGCAGCGGCAGCAGAAGTCTGATGGATGCATGGAAATTAATGAAGGTGTGGTGCTTGCTCCCAACCCTACCGTTCAGCACAGTTGTCCTGGCAACGGAAGACTGTCATCTTCTTGTAGTCAAAGAAGGACACACCACGCAGCGTGCGGCTCCGAGTGTTGTCCTCGTAGCAACCAATGTACCTTGCTGGGGAGGGAGAGGAGAGGGTCAGAGGCTGCAGGTGACGATGATTTTTGTTGTTATTATTTCTGATAGGGATGTGTCATGGCATCCTGGCAACTCAGGACAGGGAGGAACTAAATGGTCCTCAGGAGGACATAGATGGGAACAGAGCTATTGGGTTAAGGAGAAATGCAGGGTGAACCAAATTTCTTTCAGCCAGGAACTCATTTTTTCCCCCAAGACATCGACACAGACAATATTTGCCCAGCACTAACAGTTGGCAAAGTAAAGAGTGATGGCTGTGCTGAGAGCAAATGAGGATGCCGGCAGACAGGGAATAGAGCTGAATAAATAGTTACAATGAAATCATTCATTTGATAAATCTAGCCTTTTCAATAATCTGAGAACAAACAGTTATGTCCTCACTGCATTCCTTCCTCACAGCTGTGCCCACTGTGGACAACACCCACCCAGCTGTGCCTCTCCACCCCTACACCAAACCAACAGTGAGATGCCTTAACATAGCATCCCCTCTCAACCAAAATGTCACCATTTCCCACCTCCTGCCTGCATTGTGCATCTGCTGAGGGTCCTGCAGCAGCCCCGCATCCTGCACACCCCCCATTGCTGCCATGCCCTTGTGCACAGCCCCATCCACGCTGCAATCCAGTTATCCAAACCAGCCCAGGCATGGGATGGAGGAAGGCAGAAAGCAACATTCCTAATAAACCAGCACGCAGTCATCGTTCGTTACTCCCAATTGCTCTCAGCATAACTTGGCATTTCTGCAGCGCTGAGCAGGTTTCGGCAGGTCAGCTAATTTAATTCATGACAGATCTAACCAGCACAGGATTGCTCTGGCAATTTTCACAGCACCAGTGACTGATGTGCATTACGTTCAATCCATCGCTCTTGACATATGTGCGCTGCAACTTATTAGGAAGGCAACTGGAAAAATGAGGGAGATGAAAGGACAATGGAGGAGCGAGGGGCTGGCTGCTGGGTGGACTCCAGGCTAGGCAGCACCACTGTCCATCTGTCCACCCTCTTTTCTCCCCTGCTCAAGCTGTTTAGTGAGCTAAATACAGAACCAAGGTGTTTTCTCAGGGCTGTGCTGCAGTGATGCTTGAAACAAATACCTGCCCCTGATTTTCCAGCTCGTTGATCAAAGGCTGAGCCATTCCCCAGCCCCACGAAGCTCCTCTGCAGATGCTTTCCCAAAAATCACCGTGCACAGCACCATCACAGATGGTGCCCACCACCAGGAAACCTCCAGCAACAGGCAAGGATTTTATATGGATGCATCAAATCAAGCCTGGTGCTCCATGTTGCAACCCCCCTCTGGCATGGGGAGGTGTGGGGACATCCCTGGCTGAGTGCCCACGTGGCTGCTTCCCCTCTCTGTGCCACTGCTTGCTCGTGCACCACAGCTGGAGGAGCCCAGCAAAGACTGATTGTAGGAGGCTGCAATGCATACAGGCACAACAGGTTTTCATGGTGACTGACAGCTCCTTCTCGCTAACCATCTGGCAAGGTCTTGGATGTGTCAGTTGGCATTAACAGGACATCATGGCTGCACACAGCACAGAGTGTTCCATGGCCACTGTGCACCACATGAACACGATGGGATGCAAGCATCAGGGCAGGCATGTCATCCATAGGGAGCCTTCTCTCAGTCTCATTTTAACATGAGAAATTGCCTTAAACACCACAAGCAGTTTTACCTTTGCATTAAAAGCCCCATCACTTAAAGCAGCCTCGCTCAGCCTCCATCTGCAGGCAGCCAGAAATCTGCAGGTGCTCATACAAATGGGACACTCCTGGCACCAGAGCATGGGAACAACCTTGCAGAAGGATGGCAGGGACAATGGGGACATCCTTGGCTCTCATGCTGTTCTGCAAGCATGATGCATCCTGTGGGGCTCAGAGGACACAAGAAGGCAGCAGAGAACTCAACAACACCCAAACACCTTTCCAGTAGTTACCACTCTGCTGCTGACTTCATTCTGTGTTTCCTGTAATGGATAATACTGCAGCGATTGCCCTAAATACCATGGTGATCCATTACACTGCTGTCACAGGTGCACTGTACTGTGGCAAGCTGTATTGCTGCTTCTCACCAGCCCACTTTATTACTGACAACAAATCCTAACAGCTCTCCCATTGAACCAAAAAAAGGTGAGCTGCTGTCTTGCCAAGGGGTCGCAAAGCCAGCAGGGAGGGGGCTTGCCTGGCAAACCCCAAGGCAGAGTCACAGTGGAAGCTTTCCTCTGTGTTTCTTTGGGTTTCGCAGGCACTGGGTGCCAGCACCAGATGTGCAATGCTGTCTCAGATCACCATGCGGCCTCAGAGCGTGTCAGCAAGCATGGAACTCTGCCTTTAGCTGCCTTCGGGATAAATAGATGACATTTTAAAAATCAATGAGAACTACTGCATTCACTTATGCTTGTTCATTAATAACGCTCCTGCTCAACACCACACCACAGGCAGGGAGCTCCTGGCCAAGCCCAGCACGCACGTCAGGCTTCAGTGTTCATTGGAGCCAATGAGATTGATCCTGAATTTTCAAAGGATGGGAGTTCTTGGGGCTGAGATGTCACAGAATCATCAGACGATTGGAAAAGACCTCCAGGATCATCAAGTCCAACCATCAACGCACCATAGAATCATCAATGTTGGAAAAGACCTCCAAGATCATTGAGTCCAGCTGTCAATCCATCCCCAGTAAACTACATCCCCAAAAGCCACATCTCCATGCTTCCACCTGTCAGCACAGCCCTCGTGCATCCCTCCCATCAGGCAGTCCTAAAGTGCCCCTCACTGCAAGCTGCAACCTCGAGCTCAATAATGCACAGAGTAAAAATGGAGTAAGTGCACTGGATGACTGATATTTGGGAAGGGAGGGATGAAGAAGATAATCCTCCCCAGAGCATCCTCTGGACCAATAGTTTCCAAAGCAAGGCACGTGCACCCTCAAGTGTGCACGACAGCTCACTGTGAAGGAAAACAGCCCAGTTTCATCATGCCATCCACATAGCTCATCAATAAATACCCATGTACTAGTGCCACGTGCTCAGAAACATTTCACCAACGTGATGCAAGACCAAAATTCCTTGGATTTCAGCACAAGGCCACCCCAGATGTACCCAGTCAGCCCTTACCTCTGTCCTCCTCTTTCTCACGGCCGCCCCGGCCCTTGGGTGCCCGGCTCCGCACCGCGCCGTATTCACCCGCTCTGCTCCTCTCTGCTGGTTCCTTGGCCATGCCCTTGAACCAGTGCCCACGCCGTCGGCCCACTGCCACCTCTGGGAAACCTCGGCTCAGCCTTGTGCCCCCCAGGTAAGGCAGTCCCAGCCCCTCGCCTGCCCCAGGGCTGCGCTGGCTCCCTGCCACCCGGGGCTCCCCAGTGAAGCCAGCGTGCAGGAAAACCAAGCTGCCAGCTGCCAAGTAGAGAGCCAGAAGCGTGAAGAAGCGTACAGGTCTCCGGCGAAAGGAGCGCTGGAATTTTACCCATAGCTTGGCCATAGCATCTTCATCCCTCCTGGAGAGCCAGGGAGATGCTCTCCTCTGTGGGGGATTCTGCATTATTCCCCTCCTGGATGAGCCCCCCGGAGGGACGTAGCAGCATGGAGGACCATGGGGAACAGATGGAGCTTTGGAGCAGATCAGTGGGTGCAGCAGCTCTCAGCAGCAGATGATCCCACAGGCATCTCTATCGTGATCAGGGCTGTGCACCCTGCAGATGAGCAGTGAGAAGTCCCTGGGTGCATCACCAGCCCTGAGGTTCTCCATTCATTTCAGTCTCAGGGTGAGAAAGTTCCACCTGCAAGCCGAGGAGAAGACATTTGTTAGTGGGACATGTCACAGGCACTGTGGGCCCCAACATTCCCATGACCTATGGCTCTGCTGCCTGTCACTTGTTCATCTTATTTTAGGAAAGGAGAGGAAAATAAATGGAAAAACAAAGTGCCATTAGTTTAATGGCCTCTATGTTCCTGCCATCTGTCTTCAGTTGATTAAATAAAAAATATTGGTGGAACATATGGCATGAATTATACATAAATATTTTAATTTGGGTTCCCAGACTAGCTACTCAATCACCTCTTGAATGAATTATGCAAAGCCCACAAAGAACCCATTTGTTGGGATCCACAACCCACGGTCCCCACACACTGACCTCTCCCCAGCCCCAGCAAGCGAGTAAAGGTGGAATAAAGGCAGAGTAAAGACAGAGTAGCAGCCAAACAAGGAGACTGCATGCTATTTGAGCTTCTGCATCCGTGGGCACCTCCAAGCTCTGCTGTCCCTTTCCATGTTCCTGTCCCCATTCACCTCCCCCCAGCCCCATTCCTGCTCGGCTACAGCAAGGCAGTGCTGCATACAAAGAAGGGGCTTCAATTACTCTCATTAAGCCATCTGGAGCTCATCCTTCTCCATCATGAACTGCAGAGTTGCAGGTCAATTACTGACATTTGCATATATTCCATTAATGCCTCTGCTAATTGTCTGGAGGAGATAATGCCTTACCGCTCTCTCGCTGGCTAAGGATTACAAACAGCAAGCAGAGCCACATCCTGACCCAGCAGGAGCTCAGGGCATCACTGGGACCAACAGCATACAATAACACAGTTATAAAACCACCCCATGGTGATTCTTTTATTCCACAGCCCTCCTCACTTCATTATCCCCAGTGTTCAAATACTCCCAGCAATGCTCTCTAGGATACTAGCCTAGGGAGAGCTATGGAGCTCACCCCTAGAAGCACCCAAAATACCCCCATCCTCAGGGCCAGATCCTTGCCTACCTCCTTAATTCCCAAGGTTCATCCCCTTAGCACCCAGGGATGGTGGGCAGAAGTCCCAGCAGAACTCAGCAGTTGCTCATGATCTGAAGGAATGCAGCACCGATAATTTATACATCTGGCCCTCCTCTTCAAATTGCTCCACAATTAGTGAGCAACAAGGTTCAGCTGCCTTCAAGCACCACCTCACATCTGACCACTGCAAAACACACTGAAGTGCTCACGTGGTTCCCCCAGCGCAGGAGAACAATCAGCCCATTAAAAACAGCAAATTAACTAACACAAGAGTTCCATTAGGAGAAGAAGGCGATTGAACTATCCAATTTCATCGCATCATTAGCATTTCTTATCGGAGAGACAGGGAAAGAATAGGGCTTTAAAATAGCAAGTGGTGGGCTGGAGGTGGTGGGATGTGGGCAAGGACCCCCCCCCTCCCCAGCACAGTCCTGCACCATACCAGCACTGTTGGGTTTAGGAAACGTGCACAGTGTGTGAAATAGAATGCATGTTCCACAGAATGCAACGCAGCTTTTGCAGGAGCCAGTGCAAGGCATGCAAGATCCCGTTCGTGCTGTGCAGGATCTGAAGCACAGCATGGAAGATCGAATGCGTGATGCACAGGATCCTGTGTGTTTCATGCAGGATCCATGGTGTAGAGAATCCATGGCACAGCATGGAAAATCTACTGCGTGTTGTGCATGAGTCAGTGCACGGTGCTCATTTACAGGGTGTTCCCATGTCCCCGCTGCTATGCATGGTGTCCTCTCTGCACCCACCCCACGCTGTGACAGCAGCATGCAGTCACCCCATACCACCCAGGTCTGGCACTTTGCAGTAGTGTTGTCTTCTCCTTAGCACTCAGGTATCCTCCAGCACAACCTGAGAGGGTTGGTGGAAGGAGCATCCTTTCCTGATGCATCCCTCCCAACCATTTCGCCTCTCCGATCTGCACACCTTTTCCTGCACATCTGGATGCAAATAGGACCAGGCTGGTCCTATGTCATCCAGCAGCAATTTGGGCACACTGCCTCCATCTCAGCCACGTTACTCAATGCTCCTGGCTCCCTCCCATTCCCTCAGTTCCAGAGCTGCAGAAGGAGCCATCCCCAACGTTGGCACCCTTTCGACACTTAAGCTCAGTGAAAAAGGTGATTTAACTCCATTCAAATGACTCCGTGTAGCTGGGAATTGGCTTAACCTAATGAGTCTTAATACATATTATGTTCTAGGTATTTTATGCCCAGTCTTCAAAATCCAGTTATGGGTTTCAATACGCCTTAGTGAGCCAAGATGTGCACCAGAGGGGATAAGCACTACCAAGAGGACCAACCGCATGCTGCGTATATTGGCATAAACCCCACAAAGCCCAGGGGAGGTCCATGGGGCCTCAGCCAAGGGCTGGCAGCTGTACCCCCCCACACTGCCCCAAATTTCACATAATTTGCCCATAGAGCCCGTGCTTCACCCTCTGCTATGGGGGCTTTGCTCCACCCTCAGTAATCTGGGATTACTCACAGCACAGGGGCAATTAGGAAAATGAGCTTTTGGAGCAGCAGACAATGCCTTCTGCAGCCTATTTAAATGAATACAGTACAAAAGATTTGTTCTTGCAGCTCTTGTTTTAGAGCTCCTTCCCAGAGGGGCTGATTTTTTTCTTATTCTGCATACCCATCCCTATGGTATCCTGGTGCTTTTATAGCCCCACATCAGCAAGAGAATTTGAAGCAGATCCCAACATGCAATGGCAAAAGGTTGCACTGCATCTGGGGCTTCCTCCATTCAGTCCAATTCTGCTGTGCTTCCCAAATCGAAATGTCTGGGGGACAGAAAAGCCCCAGGGCCACCACATCCCACTGCCTGACAGTTGTGTGTGGGGTGACACAATGGGGTCACTGCACATCCATAGCTAGAGCCCTGCTGCTCCCATTGCCCTGTGCATGGCTGAGGTCCCAGACACATAGGGAAAGGGAATGAGCCCATGGGAAGGAGAAATTGGGCACAACCTGTGCAGGAGTTATGGCAGAGTCAGAGGGGGAAGGAGCAGGGGATGAGTAGGGGCATCCCAGGGCTGGACCCCATTACCAGAGAGTGCTCCCCAGCTCCACACCACTGGGAAACTTTATTTAACCCTGTCCTGTGGAGGAATGGAGAGCGGTGCTCAGCTCAAGGTAACCTTCACACACTTCTCCTCTGCCTCCCGCTTCTTTGTGCCTTAATTTTTTTAGCTTCATATTAAAATCTTCCACTAAGATGCCGAAAGGATCAAATAAACAGGGGAGGCTCACGGCAGGAGATTGCCATCCTCCAGTCTCCTGCAGATTGCAGGCAAGAGGAGAGTCTCTGTGCCTCTCCGAACCCAAACCCAAACCCATTTGGTAGAAGAAGGCAGTGCAAAACCCCATAGCCACATTTTTGGGGGATGTTATATCTTTCTTTCTTTCTTTTTTTTCCCAACCCCCACCCTCCCCAAACCACCCTCTCGCTTACATCCCCCATCCCCATCACCCCCCCTACCTGCACCCAGCGCTCTCCGATATCGCCGTCCCTGCGCCGCCGCCGCTCCATCCCCTCGGAGCCGGGGGGGCAGCGGGGCTGGAGGGCAGCAGACAGTGGTTCGACCCCCCCAGGCCATCCCCCACCGCTGGGTTCCGCTCGGTTCGGTCGCAGAGCTGCGCGCAGCCCGGAGCTGCTGCGATTCGGTCCTACAGCGCTGCGTGCGCTTAACTCCTTCCCTACCGGCTGCTTTGTGCCCTTCGGTTCTTTATTTTATAGATACGTCTTTTTCGGTGCACTGTCCCTCTGGCTGATGCCGGGATGCAGCACCCACCCGATCCCACTAAACCCACACTCCGACCCCTGCAAACCTCCCACTTGCTCAGGTTCAGCCCAGGATTTTCCAGCCGGGAATGAAAAATAAGGTTTGCCCCTTTATCTGAAGCCAGAGCAATTAATTAAAAAAAAAAAAAAAATCAATTAGAAACTTCCCCCGGAGCAGCAAAAATTGGGATGGTAAAACACGGTGAGAGAGGGGTTGAACCTGTGCTTCTCTCAGCAACTTTAGCGCGGGGGGGAGGGGGGGTGGGGGAGAGTTTGGAGGGCAGCCCCTCTGAGCCCACCCAGTGCCACCCCACAGCCTCCCCACGTCCAGAATGATCAAATCTGGAGGAATACCTCTGTGTTGGTGTGATGAAGGCAGGAACCCTCCGTGCCATGGCCCCTTCTGCAGCCCACCCGGCGCCTTTGTTTCAGGCGGGGGTACGAGGGCTGGACGGGGGGAGGGAGGGGGAGGTTTGTCCTCCCGATGGCCTCAAAGCAGTCGGGTCACGGCGTTCGGGGCAGCCTCCCGGCTCTCGTTAGTCGGCCTTGAGCTGTGAGAGAAGGACGGCGGCTGGGAACGCTCCCGCAGAGGGAAACTGCAGCCTCAGCGCCGTCCTTGCTGGCTGCCGGAGCATCCATGTGCGACGGAGCATCCGAAGCTGCCCCGGGCGGACGCACGCAGGGACGGCGGCGACGTTTCCATAGGAAACCGAGATGGGGAGTGCTGTCTCTGCTTGGCGCTATTTTTATCGTGTTGGGTTTCTCGGTGTGGCCTCCCTCCCTTCTGCCCTCCCTCCCACCCGGGCTGCCATTCCTGCAGCTCCCCGGTGAGCTATTGCAATCCCAAATTGCAAATCCTACTGGGATGCGCTGCGTTCTCCGGACGGGCATCAGCCAGAGGGAAGTTTGCTGCTTGCAAAGACCTCGTTGGTTTCTCTCTGCATCTCACAGCTGGGAGAGCAGTGAGGAAATGTCCGTGAGAGATGCAAACGTGTGGGTTTTGCAGCTTGCAGAAGAATTAAGCCAGCTCTGAGTGTGGCTGTATGTGTGAGAAAACAGAGAGATGACGGCTAAAATTAGAATTTGCAAAAAAATAACTGAGAGTTGTGGGGTTTTTTTTGGGGGGGAGGGAGATCTAGGAGCCATTGGGGGATGCTGGGCTGGGGGAATGCTTCCCATGGACCTTCCCTATGGGCGTAACTGGAAATCATTCTGGATCAAGGACTCCAGAGCCTCAGTTTGGCCATGTTCTATAGGCATTGAGTGGCATTTTCCATCCTTAACCCGTTGCCAGGGGACATTTAACATTGTTCTGAAGTGTCCTCAAGTGCCAGTGCCACCCCTCTATGTCAAGGATGTTGGGCTCGGAGCCAAAAGCCAATGTCAATGTTTCTTTAAACATCCTTATCAGGGGAAGCAGCACTGGGGTGACGTTTGTTGGGTACATACATGTATATGGGATTGTGTCCAGAGGGCCACCACTGAAGGGAGGTGGCAGTGCTGACGTATGGGCTCTCAGATATTTCTAATTCCCTGGGGCTGTCTCTGGGTGGCTCCTCAGTGGGGAAAAGTAGGAGGATGTGGTGCATTATAGTAGTAAAAAAAAAAAAAAAGAAGAAGAAGACGACAGAATAAAATCTCATTTTGAGGATTATGAGGTGCCAGAACACACACACACCAAAAAAAAAGAAGAAAGCTGTAAACAGGATGTCTGAAAAGATCTTAAGCATAAAGGTCAGAATCTACAATTTAAATGGCTCGCTGTTGCTTTCTTGCTCTGTGCCACTAATGAGCCATGATGCAAAAAAACAAGTTTGTTCTTGAAGCCACCGCTCTGAGTCCTTTTGTGATCAGAAATGTCAGCTTTTTGAGCAGCACACGCTGCCTGGGGGTGCTGGAGGCAGTGGGGTTGGGATGTTGTAAATGGGTGGTGGTGGGGCTGGAGCTGCCTTCCTGCCTTCCCAAGGAGGTGGTGGGGTCACCATCCCTAGAGGTGTTCAGGGAATGTGGAGATGTGGCACTGAGGGATGTGGTTTAGTGGAGGGGAGGGGTTGGACTTGGTGAGCTCAATGATCTTTTCCAATCTTAATGACTCTGTGACTAGAGGATGAGTCCAGAGCTCACAGACATTGTGCTAAGTGAAAACCAATGGGATGAGGAGATGGGTCATTCATTGCTTATATCCTTGCCAGGGGGTTGGAAAATCATCATTGTGATGTCCATGCCAAAATTCCAGGGGCAGCAGGGCTACGTACGTTATCAGGGAGCAGCTGATGAAAAGTCAACACCCAGCAGATCCTACGTTCTCAGTGCTTGTCTCCACTTTGGCCAACAAAGTGACAGGAGCCAGAAAGGAGAGAGCCTGCAAAAACACAAGTGCTGCAAACCAATGAGCCTCCACAAGCAGTGCAGGTGGTTGCCCATCCTCTTCTTTTCCATTTTGCACTGTTGCATCACATCCATTAGGGACCATCCCCACCGCTGCGTTCCTGGCCCATGGAAGCAGCAAGCATCTCCCCCAGAGACTGTGCCTCCCAGGTGCCATCCTCAGGAGCTCACACCTCTCCCACTCTGCTTTTTCTTAATTAACTCATTAGGACGGCAGCGATGGCGATGCAAGCCTCAGGGGAGAGTTCTGCAGGCACAGAATGGAATCAGGGACTGAACATCAAAAGCATTTCAGGAAAGAAAGAGGAAGAGGAGGGATGTATGATAAGATAGGTTTGCACGTGTACGCATGGCTCATTTGGGGAGGATGTGGCCTCCCACGTGTTGGCATTGTTTTTGTGACTGTTTGGAGCTCAGGGAACTAAAACACAAAACAAACAAACAAGAAGAAAGAGGGAAGCGCGTGGATTAAAGCTGGAAGGAAGACGATTAAGGGATTGAAGGGAAAAGAAGTGCAGAGGATGTAGATGGAAGGGAGAGCTCCCTGCTCTGCCTTAGGAAACAAAAGGGGAAGAAAGAAAAGATTTTGATAAGCGCTTTAAAAAATTCATGAGGTTTCTGTTTCTCTGTTTATTTATTTCCTCCCTGGGATAAAGTCCTGGAATAAAACATCTCATTTGTCAGGGTCCCGGGGGAGGAGGACACACGTCATCTCCCCTATGGATAAATTACAGCTCTGCAAGGGTGGGACAGCAGGAGGGGACAGCTGGGGCAGGAGGGGATGGATCAGGGTTGTGCATAATGCGTCGTGCAAAAGCCCTACCCACAGCTAGGGATAAAGCCTCAGAGTAAAGGGAACCACATGGGGCAGCTCACGGGTGACATAACCTCCGCAGATGTTACCCCTATGGGTTGAGACCTCCTCTCTTTATTTCCTGCAAAAGAATCCAGCCTGGCCAATGCCATCTGGAGCCATTCCCTTTACCTTGGAGATGAGTACAGTATTTTTATTATTATTATCCTGCTCTTGGCTGAGAGCTGCCCTCCACCGAACGATGCCATGAAGATTGCTGCAGCTAATTCCTGATAATGTTAAGATATTGAAGGGAGAATATAGCCCATAAAGTCTGGGTCTGCTCGTTCCTGTACTGAAGGAATGGCTTTTTCAGCCATTCCCTGGTGTGATGAACGGGGGTGGTACATCACAAATTAACTGCCAGTAAAATTCTGGCTGGTAAAAAGATGAAGGAGCTGTTTTTCAATGGAAGCTGTAAAACCATCTCCTGAAGGAGAGCAGCTCCAGCCCCCGGCTCCCCGCCTGCTTACAGAGCCACCATCTGCCTCTGATGGTGCTGTCCTTTTCCCAAATCAGCAATGCCCCAGGGCTGTCTGTTGCAAACTGTTTGGGCCTGCCTCATAATTGTCACAGCCACAGCCCTGCTTCTGGTCCTATCCTGGTTCTGGTCTAGGACTTGGTCTTGATTCTAGTTCTGGTCTTGATCCTTATCCCAGATGTGGTCCTTATCCTTGGACCTTATTCTTGTCCTGGTCCTAATCTTAGTCTTGGTCCTGGACTCGGCTCTGGTCTTGGTTCTGATCCTGGCCCAGATCCTTATCTATTCCTGGTCTTGGTCCTGATCCTCCTCCTGGTCCTATTCCTAGTCCTGCACATCTCCCAGCCCATTGCAGCAGGACATTCCCACAGGGGATGGGAAGTCTCCAGGGACAGGTCCACTGCCCGCAGCCCTCACCTAAGAATATTATCCATGTGACAACTGTATTTCAGTGCCCATGGAAGCCAGCGTTCCCCGCTGCAGCATAATCTGCCTTTATTATTTCTTTCTGCTGTTTCCATTTCCTCGTTTGCGTGTTACAGATGAGCTGAGAGCACGCAATCATCTGGACTCTTTTTCCCCCCTCTGGCAAGAGGGAATTCATCACCAGTTTCATAAAAAAAAGAGGACTGAGAGAAAGGGAGAGTGTATTTTGGCAGTCCTGGTGGCCCCAGGGACTCTGCAATGCATGGGACAGGCTGGACTCTATGGACCAGCCCTGCTGTCCCTGGGCTGAGAGCAGGAGATTACTGCAGCTTTAGAGCAGACACGTGTAATGGCCGTGTCCTAGTTTTTGTGAGCAGAATCCAGCATAAAAAAGCCACATTAGCAGTGAGAGCAAATATAGTAACTTGCTCTCACATTGGCTTTTCCAGTGTTACTAGCTGGAAAGCCTTTCCAGGGTCACCAAGGAAAATGAAAAAGGGGCTCTTTGTCCCCCACCTCTCCCTCCTTCTTGATAGAAAATCACCTCCAGCAGCACTGCCAGCTGTCCAACACGGTCATATCAGCTCCCTTGGGGTCAGCAGCTGATCCGCCTGCCAGCGCCAGGAGGAGACACCTGGCAGATCCTGTCCCTGTCCTCATCTCTGCTCCTGTGTCTGTCCTTGGCCTTGTCCCCATTCACAATCCTCCTGCTGTCCTTGTTCCTATCCCCATCTCAACCCTATCTTTATTCTCCATCTCATCCTTATCCCATCCCCATTCTATTCCCATCCTCATTCCCACTCCCACCTTATCACCACTCCCATACTATCCCCATATCATCTCCATCCTCACCTTATGCCATTCCCATTCCCATCCTTACCCCATTCCTATCCTATACCCACCCTCATCTTATGCCATTTCCGTTGCCATCCCCATTCCCATCTCTATCACTTTCCTATTCCCCATCTCACTCTTATCCCATCCTTAACCTATTCCCATCCCATCCCCGCAGAGCAGTGGGAGCCACCACAGCAGAAGTCACCTTGCCATCTCAGGCAGCTCATTCCTGTCAAAGTAAAGGCATTAATTTCAATCACATTACTAATTACTAATTAAAAGTCCTAAATCACTGGAAGCAGAGGCTCTCCCCATGGGAAGGCTGCGTTCCCATTCTGGCACATCTCACCTGGATCACCCACCCCAGCTGGAACCAAATCTGTACCACAGCAGCCAAACGTAGGCTCCCAAATTAAAAGAAGCAATTAAAGCCATTTAATCACTAGCTGCTGCCAGAAGGGAGCTGGAGGAGCATCGTGCCACTTGTGCACATGGGGACAACCCCCCAGCACCTTCCCCCTTCCTGCCACCACCATGCCCCCACCCTGAGCCACAGCTCAGCTGTGTATTCAGTGTCTGCGCTCCATTATCACCAATCAATATAACAGTTATTACCTAATGGGCTAAAACTGTAATTCTAATGTCCCAGATCTGCATATTACAGCACAGCTAATTGGTACAGAACCGATGCAGGGGCTTAATGAAAATGTAAATTCGGGCACATTAATCAAACAATTATTTTGCAACCACAAGACAGACAGTGCTAAACCTAATTAAGAAATAAACAAAGTTAATCAGTGAACAGAAAACGTTTACTAATCGTATAAATACGTTGCAAGGAAGAAATATTAGGCAATAAGTTATTAAAGATTCCCAAACCTGCTCCTCTCACTACAGTCCTTAATAACCCAGCACTCTGGCTTCCAGGAAGCACCATCTCGATTTTATTAAAGCATTTGTTCTGCTTTAAGCTCTACTGGGCACCAGAGAACAAGAAATATATTACTCTGCAAGATGAATAATTGCATCAATTTAAAATAATAGGGCTGGGGACTGAACATGTGTGTGTGGGTGACACCTAACGTTGAGACCAAAGTATTTTGGGCTTAATTATCTGAAGTTAGTGCTTCTCCAGCTCAAAAGTTAATTCTAAGTCAGACATAAAAGTTGTAAGAAGACACAAACATTAATGCTGTCTGCATTTCTCTTTCCTCTTCATGTTCATAGCTCCTTGTCAAAACCTGCTTGGTTAGCACAATTTCTGTACATAAATGGGAATACTTCTCCCCCAGCCTTACTTCTGCTGGATGTTGATTTGCACAGCAAAGTGTTCTGAATTCCTTGCAGCACCGTCACGCTTCCTGCAGCCTTGTGAGGAGGCTGCAGCAGGCTGGGGGCTTGGTGGGGAGGCAAGCAGCAAGCTGAGAGCATCTGCACCCCATCAGAAGCAGCCTGGACAATAATTGAAATGAGGAAATGTCAGTGATGGAAAGCAGGCAGCAGGGTCAATGCCGCAGCTGTGGGTCACAGTGATGGACAAGGTGATGGTCAAGACAATCACAAATTGATGCCCCAGACAATGGTCAAACAGTGGTCAAGATGATGGCCAAGGTGCTGCCTCAGCCTGGGTCTCCATTTGGGGACTGCTGGCTCCTGGTATGGAAGATGGTGAGGGCACTCTGGGGAAAGGATGCTGCTGTTGTCACTGATGTGTCCCTCATCCTGGGGGCATGGCCAGGGCTGGGGGGCCCTAGCATACATTTTGGGGATGATTCAGCTCTTTTCTTCCATTCCGTTTGCATGAAAGCCTTGCACTCAGGACAAGGTAAAACCTGTCTGGGAAAAACTAAGTTCAGCCAAAAACAGCCTCAGTGTGTTCCTTGGCAGTAAATCCTCTCCACACTCCTATATTTTCAGTCCCAAAGCCACATCCTCATTTCCCTTCTGGCCTCAATGGCCCCTTAACTAGCACTGGAATGATGTCCTGGTGCCCCACACCCTAGCTAAGCAACTTATCAAAACCATCCCACCTTCAGGGACATCCCCAGTTTTCCCTTGTCCTCATGGGATGACAAATCAACCACCCAGCAGAAGACGAGGGGAGGCAAAGGATGCTGCAGGGAGCACCCAGGATGCCTGCAGTTCTCCTCCAGCATCACGGCACATACTGAACTGCAGTGAACAGTAGCCAGGGACCTGCCAGCCCTCAGGATGCTCCTTGCCCTGACATCACCATGTGTCCCCATGTCTCTCCAGAGCAGATTTGCTGTGCCAGCACCGCACTCCATTGCTTGGCTACAGGGGGAAGAATTCAATTTTCAGCTTTCTGAGCCCAAACGGTGGCTGGCTGCTGCTGCTCTGCAGCACCCGGCTTGTTGGCATTCTCCAGCAGTGCTGCAGGCTCAGCAGGCCCAGAGCTGCTGCAGAACACTGAATTATTCAGCCGCAGCAGGGCTGTGAGCTGATGGAGCCAGTGAGGGCTCTGAGCACAGCCAGAGGAAGGACCGAACCGGAGGTTTTTGGAGCTCCCAGAGCTGTGTCCCAATTCCAGAAGTGACAAATCCAGGGCAGCAGCTGCTGCACCTCACCCTGATAGGCATCTGCCTAAAAAATAATAAGTTAAAAGCTGGGGAAAAAAAACCCACACCAAAGAGCCTCAGCCCTGCAGCAGGACCTGTGGAAGAGAAAAACCACCATGGGGATATCACAGGTGGCAGCCATCAGGTGGCCTTTGTGGCATCTCAGCATGTACCACACCACCAGTCCTGTGGTCCCAGCTACATATTTACTGGGATGCTGCCACGATGGTTGGCACAGAAGGGATCCACTGGTCTTTATTGGGATGCTGTCATGATGGATGGTACAAAAGGGCTGGCAATCAATCTAGACAAGCATCTAGGGTCCAGTCTGAGTCGCTCATTGACCAAATTGCCTAAGTGCTGGCCATGTGTTGCTCCAATATAGGCATGGATGCTGAAGATAGGCAGGGTGATGCCACTGAAGTACATGGGAAGGGGAGGAAGGCTGCACCAAGACTGGTCTCATCCATTGACATCCCCCACGAAGTGGATGGAAAGTGCTGCTCTGCTGGCGAGGAGAACTGTCAGGGCAGGAGGCAGCACAGGGTGATGGGTACAAGGAAGATGGGTTTAATTGGGTCACCCTGGGTGCAAAGGACAGCTATATGGCAGGTGGCCAAGGTGACGGCTGCATCCCTCTCCCCTGCCATTTGGAGATTAAATGAGCCCAGTGCCAAGAGCGCTCAAGCCCTGTCCTTCACGCTCCCATTGTCCCCAGGGAGGATGCTGGCCAGCCTTCCAGTCCCCATCTGCTGCAGGCACAGGAAGCTCTGCAGTGCCCTGGGTCACCCTGCAGCTATGGGATGGGTCACGGGGTGGTCGAAGCATCATTCCCCACGCAGCACCACCAGCCAATTACAGAGATTGCGAGGGCACAAGTGCCTTCCCGGGGTCATTTTTCAAGCGATTAAAAATAAAAAGGCCCAAGCGCGGCTCATATTTCAGCATTAATGTTACTGCCAAATATTATCATGTCAACGCGGGCTGGAAAACGGAAGCAATCAATAAGAGAGAGGCTCCAGTGCTGAGCAGTGAAGAAGCACAGCAGCCCATATCCAGCAGCATCCAGCTGTGCACCCTGGATTAGGACCATCTCATAGGGTGTTGTTTTCCTTTTTCCTCTGCTTTCACTTCGGTCCAGGGAGCCCATATCTAAAACAGTAAGTGATGGGGCAGCACCAGTTCTCAGGGGTTGACATAACCCAGCAGGAAGGTGCAGGAGAACGAGCTGCTATGTGGGTGCTGTCACCTCCCTGTTGTCATTTCTTACTGCCCTGAATCAAATCCAACTCTTCGTTCGCCCGTTGCATAAGAAAACTGAGCTCATGTCTCTCTTTGAATGAATTATTCACACTTGGCTCCATATTCACTAATATTTAAAAGCTGCTGCTGTGGGAAATGCCGTTCCCTTTTTTCCAGACGTTGTTCCAGACGATTCGGCTTAAACCATTCACCAAAGAACAATCTGACGCACTGGGGTGGTTGTTTTCTTTCATGGAGCTGCGTGGCCAGATGGGAAGAGGAGGAGGGAGAGGACAGGAACAGAGCTCCTTTCCCTGGTATGTATCCCTTGTGCAGGACACACAGAGGACAGCACAAGGGATGTACATGAGGACATGCCCTGCATGCTGTCTCCTCGCAGCAGCCCTCAAGCATCACGGAATCATTAAGCTTGAAAAAGACCACTAAGGCCATCAAGTCCAGCCATCAGCCCATCACCACCACACCCACTCATGGAATCATTAAGGTTGGAAAAGCCTAAGAACACCATTTCCAACCCCAACCCACCCACCCCGTGCCCACTGACCATGTCCATCAGTGCCACATCCTGACATTCCTTGAACAATTTCAGGGATCACCATCCCCGGGCAGCCCATGATATTTCTTAGCTTGGTCCCAAGGAACTCATTATTATCCTAGTGGGCACTGAGGGTGGGCAACAGTAAGGACTCCAGGTAGCAGAACTGCTTCAAGTCCATCTATGGGCCAAGCCCATGGTTCTGCAGGTGGCATTGTGTCCCCAAAGTCCTACCTGCCTCCTGTAGCCATACAGGAGCCTTTCGGTATCTCTGATTTGGATTTTAAAAAGGAAATCCTCTCTCTTACTGGCAGGACAAACAGCCCCAAAGCGATTCACTGAGGCTATTGAGACCTCTCCTGCAACAATCAGGGTTTCTATGGCCAGGCTCTTATCAGGCAGATAGTGATCCGCTGTTCAGCCCTGCTGTTAATTAATCACTCTGACCCTCACCCCAGGGACAAAGCAAGCAACAGAGACACCCACGAGTTTCTGAGGCTCCTCTGAAGCTGAGGCTCTCAGTTTCAGCCCTCCCCACCCATAAACCTGAACACTTTGCTCAGTGGAGCTTCCCTTTGACCCAACAACAATTCCTCTTTTTGGCTTTCCACTGCCCCAAGCTTTTTTTCTCTAGGTTCAGTGTAATCAAGATGACATCCTTTTTGCTTTGACGGTTTCTGGAAGGAGATTGCTTGCTGGGATTTGTCACAACACTGCCAGAAGAAAACAAGGAACCATTTATCCACATAACCCCAATGGAGCCAGAAAACCCACTCAGCTTATGCTCCATGCATTGCCACGGCTTTGCATCGCTCCCATCAGGCACGTCTGCCCCACTGAGAGCCTCCATTCATCTCCTAAAGCACCAGGAGATGCCCTCTGCACAATGCCTGCACCTTGGGCAAGCAGACAAAGGCAGCTTTGCACCAGCCTCTGTTCCCAGCTCAATTTCACCTTTGCAAAGATTTCTCTGTCCAAATTTTCCCTTTGTGACAAGCCAGCCCACTTGCAGCTGGACATTTTTATCCAGGTCTGGCTCCAAGTTTGAGAGGTTTTTTATTTTGGAGCTGAAAATGGACCAAGTGTCCTTGGAGGCGTCACCAAGAACAAATGCTGATACCTGATTTTCCTTTCCAATGTTTCCTCTCCAGTGCAGAAATGAAGACCAGACCCACATTCATGCATGTTTCTAATTAGATGCCACTTTGTCCCAGCAATTTATAGAATCACAGAATCATTAAAGTTGCAGAAGACCACTACAATCATCCAATCCAACCACCAACCCATCACCCCTATGCCCACCAAACCACGTTCCTCAGTGCCACTTTGTTGATGTTGGTAGCACCATTCCAACACGTGGGGGGAAACCACCACCCAAAATCCCACTGCAGGCTGGCAAACACACCGTGATGCTCCACACATCTGTTATTCAGCTGCTGCAAATGCGAGACAGGCGCACATGGTGGGGCCTCTGTCTGTACAAGAGAACCTGCATTACACCCAGTTAATACTCAAACTGTGATTAATCAAAATACTCCTCTTGTTGTTCCAATTATGCTCACTGTTTGCCTGCACATCCTTTATTTTTGTTTAAGCGTGAGCAGAGTCAATTGGAATCGAGGATTGATGGCGGCTGCCAAACACTCTGCTCTCCAATGGCAATAAGTTACACTCCCATTATGCAGCATGCAACATAAAGGACTGATATTTATTCTGGGGATGTTTTCTTTCCCCAAAATACTCAAAACACTCACAGCTGCCATGAGGTAACTCAGCACCACAGGTGCTGCCCTACAGGAGGACATGGGGTGGCTCAGGATCCAGTGCAACCTTAGGAAATGAGAACAAATGAAACCATCAGCATCAATCCCCATGCAAAGAGCAGCTTCCTGGGCTCTCCAAATCTTCTGAAGCCCCATGGCTGATTCAAAATCGTTCTACATTGGGCCAGCAGCCCAGAGGAGATGCTGGACCCAGCACCACACATCTGAGTAATGGTTTATTTTTAGGCTTTAGCATGAAAGTCATTGATCTGAGCTCATAATTGCATTGTTATCTGTGCCCTATGAGATAAAGAGATTTCTAGCTGAAGGCTTTTTGAAAAGCCACGCTTGAAAGTAGATTTATTTCTTTGAGCTTCTCTATTTTTTAAGTGAAATATTTAACAGTGAAAATTTGCCATCCTTTATTTATTTAATTTTGATCCCAGAAGACAGAAGTGTCTCCTGTAGGAAGGCCGGAGACATGGGATAAGAAGGGACCTGCAGCACTGCCTTTTGGGATGGCAGCAGCTATCCTGGAGCCAGATTTGGGAGGAGCCCCAGGGTGTCCCTCCATGAACTGCTCCCATCTCCAGAGAAGCCATGAAGGCACCCTACATCCTTGTACAGCTCCCACCACTTCTTCCTTATTGAGAAAATAATGCTAAGGCACAAAAAGGCTCTCTGTGGTGCAAAGGAAGGATGACAGCTCTGTAGAAGTCCTTTTTAATGAATTACACCCTAAGAAGAGAGGTTAACAGTGGGCACTCTAGGGTCATGGAATCATTTGAGTCAGAAGGGACCCCTAAAAGCCAGCTGGTCCCACAGGCTGCAGTGCACAGGGACACCCACAGCTCCATCAGTGCTCACAGCCCCATCCCCTGAGCGTGGCTGTGTGCAGGGATGGGGCAGCACCACCTCTGGGCACCCTGTGCAGTGCCTCAGTGTAAAAACTTCTTATATCCTGTCTAAATCTCCTCTCTCTGAGTTTAAAGCCATTTCCCCTCGTCCTATCACAACAGACCCTGTTTCAGAGTCCATCCCATACTTTCTTACAGCCTCCATTTAGATACTGAAAGAATGATAACATGCACCGTGCCCCTGGGCACTGCCACAAGCTTCACAGGAAAGCACATCTTGGGAGAAGACAGGAGAGAGGCAAGCAGTGCCTGTAGGGATCTCCTGCTCCACCATTCTTGGGAAGCTCACCACGTTGGCATCACAGATCCAACAAAGCTGCTGAGCCCTCTTCCCTGGGACAAACACTCACCTTTTGCTCAGAAGAAGGGCAGGAACCCAGCACTTGGTCATCATCTTCAGCCCAGTGGGTGAAGAGGTGCAGCTCTGCTCCCAAAGCTTCTCTTCCTCTCTCCAGCACCAGCAAGAGATCCACTTCCACACCAGCTGCTTTACTGCGCCAACCCATGCTTTGCAGTTCTCTCATTGAAAAGCAAATCTGTATTGATTTCATAACAACCAGGGCTGTAAATTACTGTTTGGGACTGGCTTGGTCAGTACCGAGATGAGAATCTATTGATTGCACCGAAGGTTTTAATCTAATTAGGACTCAAGGAAACTTGTTGGAATAGCAGAACAATTCAGATGCTCTGAGATGTAATTAAAAACATAAGGCATAATAAAACATAACACCTACAAAAGCAGAACGTACAAACAACAGTCCTGGTCAAACAAAGTTTGCAGTCCAAAGGCTTCCTGTTAGAGAGGCTGAGAAGAAAACAGGAGCAGAAGTATCAGCTGGGGCCTAATGACCCTCTTTTATCCCCTCTCTCTTTAGAAGCCCTTCCAATCAGGACCTCACACCCAACCACAGCTGAGCTACCTTGTCCGTAATTATGTGGGGCAGCAATTAAACCTGGTGGCAATTAAACCAGGTGGTGCTGGGGGGGGAATGCTCTGCACCCCCTCCTGGCATTCCTTGTTATTAATGGAGCAGCAGTGGCCTCTGCTGCTGCATCTCTGCATTGCACCCAGCAATTCTGCACGGCCTGGGTGTCCTTCGGGGATGCAGAGGTTATGGGTGCCTGGCACAAGAGAGATACGGACCTGTTGGAATGCATCCAGAGGAGGGCCACAAAAATGATCCAAGGGATGGAACACCATCCCAGGGGACAAACTCTTTAGCAGGGTCTGCTGTGAGAGGGCAAGAGGAAATGGTTTCAAACTGAGAGATTTAGATTGGATAGAAGACAAAAAGTTGTTTGCACTGAATGTGATGAGGCACAGGGTGCCCAGAGAGGTGGTGCTGCCCCATCCCTGCACACAGCCACGCTCAGGGGGTGAGCACTGCTGGAGCTGTGGGTGTCCCTGTGCACTGCAGGCAGTGGGAACAGATGGCAGCTGCACTGCATGGGGATAGCTCCAACCCGAGCATGACACAGGGCACTGGGATGTTGGTTCTGAGTGGTTGGGTTACTCTACAACAGTGTCACAGCAAATCTGTGGCTGCCCCAGATGCACTGTGAGATTTGTGTTCCTCCTGAGACAAGGCATGCTGAGAGCCCATGGGCACTTTGGGAGCCCTTCCCATGGGGAATCCCCATCTTTCACCAAAATCCACACCAAGCCCATTGCACAGCAGGGCAAAACCAAGCTCCACAGCACTGGGAGGGAGCTCTTTGTTCTGCAGGGATGGGGTACAAGCATGACCATCCCACCCATGCCTCCCACGTGTGTTCCTATTCTCATAGGGAATTAAAGAAGCCAAGAACCATCCATTTTTTGTTGTTTTTTTTTTTCTTTTCCAATAGTCTCACTTTATTAGATACCACACCAAGAGAGGATGTTGTGCTGCATGCAGCGGAAGACTGGAGTATTTCTAGTTCCTGTGTAACATTTTCTCTTTCTGTTAATATTTGTAAACTGATATTTTGCTGTAAAATCACTGCATGCAAGTTGGAATGCAAACAGCAGTAGAAGAGGCTTTTTCTTTCGTTTTGTTCTTTTTTTGTTGTTGTTGTACCATTCCCCATCCATACGTGCATGCTTTATTTACAACGAAAAGAAAGTCATTCAGGGCAGAAAGTACCATCAGAAAAACTCAGAGGAGGGTGGCAAATGGAGACAAGGACTGTGGTTTGCACAAATACCCAGAGTGGGACCAGCAAGTTGCACTTTATTTATTTTCATGGGTGCCAAGAGGTGAGTTGAGCACTGGTTGTCTGAAGGGGGAGCGGGGCACATTGATACAGGACACAGGAGGGAGCTACCTCAGTAAAAGCAACCTTAATTTAATAGCTCTGCACGCACAAAGGAGGGTGGGCTGCTGCATGGCTGGAATAAAGGAATTGCTTAGATTTGATTTCATTTGTTCTTTTTTAAAGGTAACTTCAGACGTTTCCCCAGCATTCCCCCATTCCTAGGGGGTTACGGAAATAAAAATATTTTAAATATATATATATATATCTCAAGAATAGGAAAATAATTCATCTCAGTGACAAGGAAGCTCTGCGGTACAGCTGGATCAGAGCACAGCGGGACACAGCAGCGAGTTGCATGGGGTAGCAGCACAGCCAGAGGGGCTGGAGCTGGGTTTTGCACAGCATGCATGGGTTATGGTTGACCAAAAGGACAGCCCAGCACTGCTCAGTGATGCTGCTATGCTTGAGGTTCTCTGGAGACAGCAGGGGAAGCAGGATGGGAACAGAAGTGAAGGGCATCAGTCTGAGAGCGCTGCGACTCCCTGCTAGAGGCAGCAAAGAGAACACCTCCAGACATCGTTAAAGCACAGCTTGTAGACAACAGATCTTGAAGACAACAGGTCTTGTGCAGACTTGCAAAAACTATAACCAAAAAAATATATACATCCAAAAACCAAAAAGTTGGAAGACCTCTACCTGTTGCAGCTACTGTCAGTGTTTGTGGTATTTTAAAGCAACAATCTATGAACATAACAGCTAGTTGGTGGGAAATTTCTTCTCCTTTGGCTTCCCTCCTGCACGGTGCAGCCAATGTTGGGGCAGCCCGACTGCATTGGACAACAGGACAGCAGCAAAGCCCCACGCTGCCCTCAGCTCACTCTAACCAGCCCCAGCCTGTGCTTTCCTGCAAGCACAGCATGGATCCCTATACGTTTCTACCAGTGTTGTACAACTGGTGGATCTTCCCAGCAGAAATTCAGACAGACACACTGCAATATTGCCCACGTGGAGCGAATCAAAAGCTCAAGCTGTGCTCACAGGCATCTGTGACACAGGCTCTGGATACTGAATGATGGTTACAACCCACATCAAGCCAAATTTTTTGGTATCAGCACCCAGCAAGCAGAACAATCCATTGTTGCCACATCCGTGCTCCAAGTGCAGAGGATTCAGAGGCCACGCATCCTGCACTGGGACGGAGCAGTGAGCTGGGGCAATGGGACACATGCTGTCACACACACCAACACTACGGCAGCACGCGTGAGACTACTGAGAAAGAGGCAAAGGGATGGGGCACTGTAACTATTGCTCGACAAAACTGCACACCGGGATAATTCGATGACCCAAAAGAAAAGGAAGTGAATATAAAAGATCTGGGTTTGTTTTCACACAGAGGTGAGACTGGGGCACAGGAGATGCTTGGAGGAGGCAGAGCAGCGGTGCTGCCCAGGGCGCGTAGCAAGGCATGGCTGCACTGGAAGACAGACAGACCTACAGGAGGGGTGCAGGACTGAGCTGCGGCTGCCTTTAATCACTGGCAACGTGGTTCTCATTCTGGAGGGTGTGCCAGCGCTCAATCTTCTTGTCCTTGTTCTTCAGACACTCGTACCAGTGTTTCAAGCGCTCCCCCTTCGCCGTAATGCCGAGCTGACAGCCACCTACAGGAAGGGGAGGAGGGAATGTTCAGAGTTGATGCTGATATTCCATTGCAAACCACTTCCATCTACCCATAGAGCCAGCCCTGTATGGGGCACCCAACCACACGGAGACCTCCTCCACTCACCGATGTAATCGTTAGATTTGCCGATATCGTAATCCCAGACAGAAATGTCCAGGGACTTCTTGGCCAGGTCACTGTGTTTGATATCATAGAAAAACTCCTGCAATGGGAGAACACCCACATCACCCCATGTTTGCAAGGAAAACGTGCCTGGTAAACTGCTGTAAGGAATTGACAATATCCTGAATTCCTGAATTCAGAAACAAGGAGAGGATATTTAAAGGGCAGTAATGAAGAGGAGATGCTCTTCCCCCTGAATGGCAGCGTAGTCCACGAGCCAAGTCAGAATCATTGAATCATTAAGGTTGGAAAAGACCACTGAGATCATCCAGTCCAACTGTATGGTTCACTCCTTGCATCTGAGTGTTCTGCATGTTTCCCCATCACAAAAACCCCAAAACCTCCAGCCACAACACTTCCTTAGGAGATGCAGGAGGAGCCTGGCAAGAATTCCCTATTGGGTTGGTGGCCAAAGCCAGAGAGATGTATCAACATAGTGGGTCAGGGTGCCCATCCCACCCTTAGCAATTCTAGGTTGCCCATGGTCTGCAACTACCATTAAGGCTGGTTTAACAGTAGGAAAATTAAATACGTCCTTACCTCATTAAACTCAGGATTCAATGTTTTCTTTTTAATCTGGGTCTTATGCTTGGCCTTTTTTCCCATGTCAGGTTTCAGCCAACTGGGGGCAACAGAAAATAGCACAAAATTCAAGTGAGAGAAGAGCGTGAGTTTATATGCTACCAAAAAAAAAGTGATTTTTGGACTCGAAGAAAGCAACCAGAGATATTTAAGGCTTAGCCAGTCTCCCTTCCCACCTTCTAAAATTATCTCAAATAAATGTAAAATGAGTAAAATCTTAAATACTCTTTTTTTTTTTTTTTTTCCTCGTATTGCCAGATTACACATGGGAAACCACACAGCCCTGTTTTGCAGGGAGCTGAGCTCAGCAGAAACCTGTCTGCAGGGAGTGTTTCCCTTGCTCACAGCAACCAGTGCCACTTTCAAACCAGAAAGCTGACCTGGGGCCGTGCCCTCAGTCCCTCACTGACCCTCAAAAAAAATGCAATGGGTCCCAAGTCTTCTTTTCCCAAAGAAAACTGCTGATGGAAAATGTTGCCAGGAATGTGTCAACGCATACATTGGTGGCCAGATTTATATTTTAAAAAGCTAAAAATAGCCCTCAGTGTTTAACAAAGTGCAGACCAGCACTCTCAGCCAAGGTGGTTTCATCCAGAGAATGTGGAATTTGTCAGCAGTTCACGCTCTACGTTGGGCTGCAGATCCCAAATTAAATTGCATGGTTGGCCCTTGTTAGATCTGTGCTGGAATTTGGTTTAAAAATGGAAAGCCATCATTTTCTGTTTGCGAAAATGGAAAATATCAGGGAAAAGAGAGAGACTGAGAAGGAAGACCGCTTAGTTCCACTCAAGATGTGCAAGATGCACAACACAGGTGCTATTGCATGGCTTTTAGGGAGAACAGAGGGTGTTCTCCTGGTGACCCCATGTCATGGGGTCAGTGCCACGTGTCACGGGCAGTCAGTAAACTCATGGCTGTGTGTCATGGACACTGGGTGCTCACTTACAGTTTAACGAAGGGGTCTGAGTACCCATTGGCATCCATGGCTGCCAGGTGCACGCAGCGCACGATGCCCACAATCAGGCCTCCCTGCTGGGTGCTGTACATGAGGGACACCAGGATCTTGCCACGCTCCTCCACGTCCCCACCGCGATCCACCTGCAAGAGGAAACAACTGGAGGTAAGGACACAAGCAGGGAGGAGAAGCCTGGCAATGGC